AGCCAGCACCCGAATATCATGATCAGTGGTTTGGGTGAACTGGGGTAAAAGCAAGGAATACCACTCACAGGACTCCGGGTCGACTGTGTCACTGACTGATCAGGCAGCATGACGGAGGCAGAACAGGTGATTGTCACCATCAGACAAGGGGGACAGAGCAAGCTTCAAACTCGCACGAAGTGAGATGGGACCTCGGGGACGCATCCATCAGATCTCTGAGTTCTAATGGGGGTTCCAGGGCCCTTAGACACTTTGCTACGGGAAGCCCAGGCAAGGTACTGGGCTTCTAACCAGTACTAACTGGCACTCCAAAGTACCAAGCAAACTACTAATTGCTGAATCCGTGATGAGTACACAAGCCGGTCGGCCGAGCGGACAGCATGCTGGACTTGTGATCCTGGGTTCGATCCCAGGCGCCGATGAGAAACAATGGGCAGAGTTTCTTTCACCCAATGCCCCTGTTACCTAGCAGTAAAATAGGTACCTGGATGTTAGTCAGCTGTCACGGGCTGCTTCCTGGGGGTGGAGGCCTGGTCGAGGACCGGGCCCCGAAATCATCTCAAGATCACCTCAAGATAAACATGGGATCCTAATGAAGGACCACCAAAAATATATATATGACTCAATAATACCAAGGGGCAGACCCTCCACCAGGCAGAAAACAAAAATAAATGAAAAATTCCCGCACGAGTACGTCACCAGGTGGAACAGAGCCGGCTACTGTATAACGGTGAAAACTAGCTGCACAGTACAGTACCTTGCGCCCCTACCAGCGACGAAGCTACCTCCTACCCAGAGGCAAACAGTGGTGCATGAAACACTCCAACTAACTCCAAGGGTGGGCAATCATCGAGCAGCAAAAGACCAACCCGAAGGTAGATCCCAAGCGACTTGTGGAAGGTAACCCCAAGCCACAAGGGCAATACTTACAGGGCACCTAGAGAAGGTAACCCTAGGAGCATACAACCCAAGTACCGGTGAAATTACTATTGGTTCATACACCACCACAGGACAGGACCACACTACAGAGCACAGCACTAGACAATGTCTGGAGCCAGGGTCGCATGACCACCAGGTCTCACATCAGCCTGTGCAGTACTGTGCAGATCGTCTCAAAGCCCTCCAAATGTACTCACTAGAAAGAAGACGAGAGATATATCAAATAATATACACCTGGAAGATACTGGAGGGCCAAGTACCAAATCTACACAGTAAAATAACAACGTACTGGAGTGAACGATATGGAAGAAAATGCAGAATAGAACCAGTGAAGAGCAGAGGTACCATAGGCACAATCAGAGAACACTGTATAAACATCAGAGGTCCGCGGTTGTTCAACGTCCTCCCAGCAAGCATAAGAAATGTTGCCGGAACAACCGTGGACATCTTCAAGAGGAAACTAGATCTATTCCTCCAAGGAGTGCCGGACCAACCTGGCTGTGGTGGGTATGTGGGCCTGCGGGCTGCTCCAAGCAACAGCCCGGTGGACCAAACTAACAAGTTACTCCCCAAGCCCTGGCCTCGGGCCGGGCTTGGGGAGTAGAAGAACTCCCAGAACCCCATCAACCAGGTATCAACCAGCCTCAGAACTGGGGTGGATAGCCAGTACAGGTGGTCTGGAGCTCCCCCCTTCACCCTCCCAGGGAGGGGGGGGGGGAGCTGTGCAGAGTGGCGCAGTGACGGTTGTGACGTCATGCTCGTTTGCTCGCTTTTAGTTTGGGGAGTTCTGCCCAACAGTTCGGCTTTCAGTAGCAATTTTTAACCAGATAGGGTTTGTTTTAGGGTGCCTAGCTTTCTGGGTGCCTGACCCAGTCAATGGCAGGCATAGAATGCTCCCAACCACACTGGGGTTTCTATAGGCCATTGCTCCTCATGCCTCTCTAAGGGGGCCAGGTTCTAGATCGTGGTCCCTAGTAGGCCTAAGAACTCCATTCACTTTGATGCCACGGTCTAATACATTCATATTAGCCTAGATAGCTCCGGGGAGCTGAAGGGGCTCTCCCCAGAAGGTAAGAAAGTTAGAAGTAAAAGGGGAGATAAAAAGATAGAGGAAACCCTAAATTTTATGAAAAAGAGTTACTTCTGAGATGTAACTTTAAAATGTTAACATTTCCCTTGAGTTATGTACAAAACTAAAATAGAGCATGAAGTGCAATGAATCACTAATTTTGGATCAGCTCCTCACCAACTCACCCATGTATAAATGGGGTATTACAGACCCTTCAAATATATTCCAGGCACCCAAGACATGCATGACTTACTGCAAACCAATATCTGAATTTGGTGTGCTCACAGTCAATGAAAGCTTGGAGGTTGGAAGGGAAGGGAAAGGAACTATCAGGAGAAAGCACCAAGCCATAACAACAATATAGCACTCAGAAGGAATTATGATAAGAATTTGGGATGAGACAGGTGGAAGATCAACCCAAACTGAGTTAATTGCCTATAAAGTCAGAGGCAAAACAAAACAAACCACTGCTTTTAATAAGACAAAATCTGGTACTGAATTTAACAAAACTTCTCTATCTGGTGGATCCCTCAGTGGCTCTCCATACCTACAAATCATGTGGATAACTCTAAACATATCATCTCAGACCAGGGTCTTGCAAGTCATAAACCAGTATTTAATGAAATGCCTCCTCCTAGTTGGGCCTCGATGATTTCCTGAAGCTAGCCGCACGGAGTCACACCACACGTCACATTAGCCCTAGGAGTCCGTAATAACCTACTGGAGACCGAGACCATACCCCAAATCTAGCCCCCATCTCTCACAGAAATGCAGGAAGCAGGGATTCTTACAATAACCAGCCCTGGATTAACCATTAATTAAGTACAATAAATATGCTTAGGGACTCAAGTAAAGTGTTCATAAAGTTTTAAACCCTATAAAGTTTTTTGTTCCAGTGCAGAATTTACAATATACCATGGTACATTTGCAGCTAAACTAGGGCCTATTAAATTGCAGTCCAATAATAAACTTATAAAAAAAAATAACTAATACAGTATTACTGTAATATAATTAGTATGATATATATATCTTCAATGCAAGAAAACAATGGAATAATAAGTATTATGTTTCATATATATAATGAAATTTATTCATTGGAATTTACACACAGTTTTTTACGGTTTACTATTTTTATTATGAATTACATATACGGTTTATGGAGTAAGCATCATAATGTTTTCAGTGCTTAGGGCCTCTAAAGGTTGATGACTGTGATGATGTGATGCGCATGATGATGCTACACTGTGATGCGCAGAGTTTATTGTAGCATTCCTCTTGTTCGCATAAAATAAAGTGTTCGCAAAAATGTTGTTGGTCTTTGTAAAATGATAAATTCCCTTCCCTGAACACGTACTGTACATGTAAAAAAAAAAAAAAAAAAAAAAACCTACTTACTTTGGCTGTGGGGACGTGGAGAAGGGAGGTATTTGCTGTGCTCCCGGGCATAAAGCTCCCAGAGGCGGTTCGTGGGCCATTCAAGCACCGCAAGTTGCCACAAATATATTTTCACTTATTTGTTCTATGTATTTCCAATGCGGTTTTATTTTGTTGTTGTTGTATATGATGCATATTTGTGTCCTTTACAATATGTATACAGTAGAACGTTCATAATGTTCTATGGAACCGTGATACATGTGTCAGTAATGTGTCCACAATAAATGTTTATTGTCTCAATACTACTTGTTCGAAATTCACTAAAATTACAATATGTACAGTTTCACACACTATTTACACAGTAACACACTGTATTAAACACTCAGTATTTCGGAAGTGAGTGATAATCAAAGAAGCAGTCCATGGTACACAGCGCGACTTCACTCTTGTTGCACCAGGTACAGATAGACTTTCGCTTCCTGTTTCTTCGTTCTGTGTGCTTGCAAATAATGCACTCACATACACCCTTGGCTTTAGTACCTGTAGGTGGTATGTAGCCAAGCATAAGGCAGTCTTTAAAAGATTATAGGAAAAGATCAATTTGTAAGGTAATCTTGAAAAGATCGCTTTGTAAGGTCCCTCACTGGAAGAGATTCAGCTATTCTTGAAAATATCTATGGAAAACACCACCATGGAAGTCAGTAACACTGTTCACCTATGCCACTTGTATCAGATGCATCATCACTGAACCCAGAAAACGATTCATCTATGTATCATCTATAAAAATTGGATATGGCATGGGTGGGCAAAAGTGGCGCTCAGAGCTACAACTGGATATGCTCGCTATATCGTCCTCATCGGTACTGCATCACTTGCATACAACTCTTGTGTTAGGTCCTTGTTGTGCCTAGCTTCATCAATATCATGACCCGTATGTTCTTCAAACAATAAGGTCTGAATTTCACCGACAGAGAGCAATCTTTCAACACCGCATTGGACAGGTGTTTGGGAGCCAGAGGTGCGTGTGCCACCCATGGTTGCTCACTCAGTACTAACCCAGCCAGCAGCCCTAGGACATTCTGGGAATTTTTTCCAAGATGGCTGCCTCACTGGAGGTCCCAAGAGTTCATTTCGTACACAACCTATCGCGCAAGCGTTTTGAATGGGTATAAAATATTCAAAAGGTGTTTTCTCGGTTTGAGCAGTTTCCCACCGACCCAGTTTTCTCAGTTGGCGCAGCACAGTGGTTAATCCGGCCCCAAGCAAACGATCCACCCAGCAGTAAATTCAGCTGTTCTAATTACAGCTGACCACAGACATGTGCTGGGCTTAACTGGGAGCTGCCAGTTTCTCGTGACAACACACAGTACCTTGGTCTAGAGCATAGGGCAACAAACTGATGTGCCTGGTATGAGGGAAGGGGAGCAAGGTCCAGCCAGAAAGAAGTGTTTCCTTACATTCAATGATGGTTTTTCTGGAGCGGCCAAATGTCAACTCCCTAAAGCTAACCACAGAGAAGAGGAAAACTGGGACATAAAATTTACTCATTTTGTCAATTAATTTTATACTGCCATTTTAAAGCCTAGATTTTAAGCTGCACCTTGAACTTTATTTGAAAGAAATTGGTTAACGCTTAAATATTTTGTTTTATTAGAAAGTAAATACTGTAGATGGAGGCAAATTTTTTATTATTACTCTCAAGCTGGATACTATTACTTACCAGATATTTTTTGGGAAGGGAAGAATTATTGAGTGGAATTGTACGGATGAACTTGTAACTCTCCACTAGGACATAAACTGGCTTGTTCTTCATGTGTGCCAGAGTAGCCACAGTACAGCTCCCAATCTATCAGCAAAATAGTTGTATTAAAACCAGAGAGGTACAGTAATTATTAAAGGTGATATTTTATGTGCATAAGAAAAAATAGCACAACAGGATGATAAACTTTAGAGGAAGGAAAAATAGTATGGGAGAATGTTGACCAGACCACACACTAGAAAGTGAAGGGATGACGACGCTTCGGTCCATCTTGGACCATTCTCAAGTCGATTGTGACTTGAGAATGTCCATTCTCAAGAATATCTTGAAGCCATTCACAATCGACCTGAGAAAGGCCCAGAACGGACCGAAACGTCATCGTCCCTTCACTTTCTAGTGTGTGGTCTGGTCAACATACTTCAGCCACGTTATTGTGACTCGTCGCCTGCAGTATGGGAGAATGATGAACTTGAGACTCTAGTGCAAGGAAAGAGTACATTGAAGAACGATAAGCAGTAGTGCATTTCCTGTACCCAAAAAAGACCTCTGCAAACTGTGGCTTTAGACTGTCAATAATTTTGTCCAAAAACTGGTCGGGAGTTAAAGATATCAACTTCATTGCAAATGACAAGTCCAGGACAATTACAGTTGTGTACTCACCTTGTTGAGAATTCCTCCGTTCTCGCAAACCCCTTCAGCACCTAGCATCACAGCATTCACTCGCTCCATGATATAACCAACAGCTGCATCTAAAATCACTGTACAAGGTATCCCAGCTGCTCTCAGATCATTTGCCATTCTGCACCTGCCACACACAAAAGGATGATCAATAACCTTGTAAAATGTTTAATATATACATCTAGAGAAAATTTTAACCAAATTTATTTTGAATGAAAAGTGTTAAAATATTTAATACATTATGATTCATTTACTCAAACCCATGAATGAGTTAACTTGCATATACTTTCTGACACTGCATAATTAAGAAGACTGTCAATTATATTTAATACATTTTAATTTTTGTCCATTTATTGTGGTATTTTGATACACTTAAAAGTCTAAAATATGTATTCCGTTTAATTTACAGTTCCCGCCTGTACCTCATTCACCAGAATCTATCCCTGCCTCTGTACCTCACTCACCAGAATCTATCCCTGCCTCCGTACCTCACTAACCAGAATCTATCCCTGCCTCCGTACCTCACTAACCAGAATCTATCCCTGGCTCTGTACCATGCTCACCAGAACCTTCCCCTCCCTCCTGTAACAGTTCCTCCACTGTCCATGTGTTGCTTGCTAATAGACTGTAGGCATTTATAATTATCAGTTTAACACTCTGACAACAGACTGATGAACAAGCCAGACCATGACAACATCCCCACACACAGTTGAAGTTAAGAGATAAATACTCCATATGGTCTCCTCTTAAATACATGATCTCTCTAATCAAATATATATAGAACTAACATTAAATACCTCAAAAATGACAACACCTACCCTGAGCGATCTGGTTGTGACTCGGTGACAAAGACATGGAACTGTCTTCCGTGTCTAGCAGCCTCTGTCATGACTGCCAGAACGTTGCGTGATCTTGAGTGAGTAAGAATGACCATGCCATCTTTAATTAAATTACTACTTGATCGCAATATCTTCTTGCGATTCTCTTGCTTACTTTTAATAAAATCTTCCCCACGTCTCAGCAGAATTTCTCGGCAGGAGGCAAAATCCTATGGGCAAAAATTAAAATTACAGAGAACTTCCTTATTCTATACATTTTAAAAGCAATCCTAAAGTCATATAAGAAATTAAAATGCCGTGAAAAGAGCAAATAAATTAACTTCTTATCTGCATGCTAAAAAATTATTAAATATGATGAAATGCCTTTTCTAATGGGTCCTTGGTAGATCTCCATACAACCAATGGGAAACAAGGCCTAAGAACTCCAAATGCAAAGATCAGCAAAGAGCCTTGATCCATCAAAACAGGTCGAGTTGCCAATCTGCTGGGAGAGGTGGTGACTCAGTAGGATAGAGGACTAGGACAACGGGCTAGTAAGGCCATACACCAGGGCTGAATTGGCCACATTGGAGACAGGAGGATGACTTGGCTCATAAATGCCTCCAACCTGGTCAACATATAAAGAATTGGACTGGAAGAGTTAAAATTTAAGATCACCAATCTCAGATCAGGTATTAAGCATCCGCTGCAAAAGCATAACCCAAGACCTGGGAAGCTAAAGGAAGGGAAAATACCAATTCCACTGTAGACCTAGAAAGATCAAGAAAATTAATTATTGAAGGTGATGGGACCAGGTTGTGGCAAACTCAATGGGCAGTCTAAATTGTAGGACATCAGGCAAAGAACCAAGGATTGTTGACGAGATAGCAGCTCCTGGTGGGGCTGCTGCCACTTGGTGATGGCCAGGTTTAACACTTTCACGGCCCCAGCAGGCGGGCCACCGAGCAACCCAAGGTAGGGCGAGTGATGTTTATACTCCTTTCACCTTTCTTACCTCAATTTTCGTGCTACTGTACATCGTTCAATTTGGTATCAAACTGTTTGCAATAGAATGCTCTAAAGGAATATTTTATACAGTACATAAGAACAATACCACAATATAAAGTACATAAAGTAAAGAATAGTGGCCACCTCACACCTGATGGTCTGGGTGTTGCAACATTGTCACTAGTAGAACTGATGTCATCCTCATGTTCATCACCAGCATGTATGATGGTGTCAATTTTGTGAGGCCAATTCTTATATTCAGAGTACACTAGTGACCAAATGACTAACTTTGTGGAACTGGAGGAATGTAAATACAAATGAGTTCTTGGTATCAGTTGTGTAGTACAGTGGTACCTCGGTTTACGAACGCCCCTGTTTACAAACTTTTTGGGTTACGAGCCAGATTTGTTCGGAAAATTTGAATTGAGATACGAAATTTACCTCGGGATGCGAGTTTGTTGATACGTGTACGGCCGACCTAGCACGTGGTGGCACGACGATCGCGCCTCAGTTTACCAATGCCTCGAGCCTGGTGACTATCCCGCCTGAATTCTTCTCAAGGATTTACAGTTTCTTTTTGGATTTTTGGCTATTTGACCATAAAAGTTGTTATATATTTTGCCATGGGTCCCAAGAAAGCCAATGGTAAGGTTCAAGGCAAGAAAACGTGTGAGAATGACCATAGAGGAAAACAAGAGATCATTCGTAAACATGAAAATGGTATACGTGTTGTTGAACTAGCTAGGCAGCACAAGTCTTCAGTGGAGGAGAAGGAGGCAGAAGATGTCCCTTCCTCATTAATTAAAAAAATGTGTGCAGTACGGGAAGAACTGCAAAGTTTTGCTGAAAAGAATCACCCAGATAAAGCTGTAGCAGGCCGTTGTATTGATCTTATTAATGACAATGTGATGTCTCACTACAGACAAGTGTTACAAAGGGAAAAACAATCTTTAATGGAACGTTTCCTTGTGAGAAAATCAAGCAGTGAGCCACAACCAGCACCTAGTGGTATGCAGGCAAAACGTGCTAGAGAGTGAACTCTAGAGAAATCTTCACTGCCTGATTTTATAATGAAAGGGGACTCCCCTTCCAAACAGTAACACCACTCCTCCTCCCCCTCCTCACCATCTTCCATATGCCAACAGGAGTCATCAGCAAGGGTAAGTAATAACTTAAACATACTTTTTAAGTGAAGATTTGGGTGAATTAGGAATAAAATTTACTTTGAAGTGAAGTTTTTGGGGAGTCAGGAACGGATTAATTCCCTTCCCATTATTTCCTATGGGGAAATTTGCTTCAGTTTACAAATTTTTGGGTTAAGAACTGTCTCCAGGAATGAATTAAATTCTTAAACCGAGGTACCCTGTACTTGATTAACACAAAAGCATTATGTATAGCCTTGTATAGCCACAGAGAATAGAAAAACATTGGCGTGCATTTTAAAACAAACCCCATAATAATCGATATGGGGATCAGAAGGAGATAATAATTGGACAATAAATGGAATTTTTACAAATATTTTAATTTTGGATGGCACTGCCATCTTCCGGATACCTATACTGTACAGTATGTATTGATTTTATGACTTCAATATTGTTAACTGGATACGATTGTGTTAACTAGTACTTTAGCTGTCTGGCACCTCTGTGTGCTCCCGACCAAAAACACTGGGTTCATTGGGCCGCTCAGCCATGTGAAAAATATTTACAATTATTTTTATGTTTTCCAAGTTACGTGTTGACTTATAACTAAATTTGCTGTCAAAATGTTTGCAAATAAATTCTCAAGCTACATTTTTCAACCAGGTGTCACAGCACACTGGTGTGTTGTGAAGGGTCCACAGGGAGTTTTAGGGAAGGTAAAAAAACCAGCGTTGAATGTAATGAAACGCCATTTTCTGGGTGAGTCCCGGAGGCTCCCCGGAGCTATCCCAGGCTGATATGCTAATGTCAGACTTTGGCATCAGTCATGTGTATGGAGTTCTTAGGCCTACCGGGGACCATGGCCAGAACCGGGCCCCTCAGAGAGGCAAGGGGAGCAATGGCCTATAGAAGCCCCCATGTAGTTGGAAGCATTCTATGTCTGCCATCGACCGGAACAGGCACCCAGAAAGGTAAGCGCCCCAAAACAAACCCCTATTCTGGTTAAAATTGCTACCAAAAACCGAACTAGTGGATAGAACTCCCCAACCGAAAACAAGCAAACTAGTGTGACGTCACACACCGCCGCGCCGCTGTCTGCGCAGCTCCCCCCTCCCCGGGAGGGGGAAGGGGGAGCCCCAGACCCCCCGCGCCGGCTACCCACACCTCAGTTCTTGAGGCTGGATGTCAAAAACGCGAAAAACCGCCGACCGGAGGGAGGGAGGGATGCCGGGGAGCCTCCGGGACTCACCCAGAAAATGGCGTTTCATTACATTCAACGCTGGTTTTCTGGGGGGAGCCCCGTCGGCTCCCCGGAGCTAACTACCCACAGACAGAAAAAAAGGGACTTACCCGGGAGGCGGTCGTCGCTCACCCCTCAACTCGAAGCCAAGACAACTGGCTGCAACCGCCGACCCAAAGCAACACAGGCCCGGCGAGGCCCAGAGACATTCACAAGGTAACGAGCAGCCAGGACCCTGTTCGACCGCCAAAATCCCCGCGCCCGAATATCAGACCAAGACAAATTCCCAAAGACGGCAGCAAGAGCCGCGAACTTACGAACGTCATGGGCACGGGGATAGACCGCAGGCTGGCTGGACCTAATAACCCTGCGGACGACCTGAGAGACCCGAACCCGCGAACAGGGAAGAAGGGAAACCGGATCAACCCACAGCGCGTCCCCGGACACAGAAGCTGTGGCGCGCAAATAACGGCGAAACGCCGCAACCGGACACAAAACATGATGTACCCCCGGCCTGACCAACCAAGCATCAACCACCCACGGACCCCTCCGGAACGCAGCAGTCTCATTCTTCGCCAGAAAAGAAGGAGACGGCTGCAAACGAACAAAACAATCACCACGACCAAAAGAACAGAAACCCCTGCGCCGGAGGAGAGCATGAAGCTCCCCTACCCGACCCCCAGAGGCCAAAGCCAACAAGAAAAGTGCATTGGAAAAATAATCCTGGACCAAAGGGGCCACAACAAAACGAGGAGATGAAAGGAAAGCGAGCACTCTGTCCAAAGACCAGGACGGCTCAGGCGACGCATGAGCAGGCCGGAGGTGAAACAATGCACGAGACAGCTTGCGAAACGGCGCAGACGTAACATCGATACCGAAAGCAAGCTGAAGCGGCTCCGCCAGTGCCGCAAGATACGAAGCGACAGTGTTAGGCATAAGATGACGGTCCTGAAACAACCACGAGAGGAAGGACAAGACCACCCGAACAGACAAGGAGCTAACACGACGAAGACGCAAAAAGAAACAGAAGGACCGCCAGGAAACTTCATACTGCCGCCGAGAAGAAGCCCTCAGGTGGGACACCAACAAGGAGGCCACCTGATCACCAACCCAGAAAGGTAAGCGCCTCAAAACAAACCCCTATTCTGGTTAAAATTGCTACCAAAAACCGAACTAGTGGATAGAACTCCCCAACCGAAAACAAGCAAACTAGTGTGACGTCACACACCACCGCGCCGCTGTCTGCGCAGCTCCCCCCTCCCCGGGAGGGGGAAGGGGGAGCCCCAGACCCCCCGCACCGGCTACCCACACCTCAGTTCTTGAGGCTGGATGTCAAAAACGCGAAAAACTGCTGACCGGAGGGAGGGAGGGATGCCGGGGAGCTTCCGGGACTCACCCAGAAAATGCCGTTTCATTACATTCAACGCTGGTTTTCTGGGGGGAGCCCCGTCGGCTCCCCGGAGCTAACTACCCACAGACAGAAAAAAGAGGGACTTACCCGGGAGGCGGTCGTTGCTCACTCCTCAACTCGAAGCCGAGACAACTGGCTGCAACCGCCGACCCAAAGCAACACAGGCCCGACAAGGCCCAGGGACATTCACAAGGTAACGAGCAGCCAGGACCCTGTTCGACCGCCAAAATCCCTGCGCCCGAATATCAGACCAAGACATATTCCCAAAGACGGCAGCAAGAGCCGCGAACTTACGAACGTCATGGGCACGGGGATAGACCGCAGGCTGGCTGGACTTAATAACCTTGCGGACGACCTGAGAGACCCGAACCCGCGAACAGGGAAGAAGGGAAACCGGATCAACCCACAGCGCGTCCCCGGACACAGAAGCTGTGGCGCGCAAATAACGGCG